CAAAATGTAATTTATTTATTTTTTTGCCTCCATTTTTTTTTTTCATTGAGCCTCCAAGTGCCTCATTTAGAAACCTTTTTTTTTCTCTTTTGCCTCATTTGTTTTTTTTTTTTTTTCTCTGCATGCCTCATTTTTGCAGTCTCATTTGGTTACATCAAATTTTTGTTCAAATTTTTATCGGGAACCATCAGGTGCCTCGTGCCTCAGTTTGCTTTCTGGTGCTTTTTGGGTTGCATTTTTTTTTTTTTTTAATATCTATTTTTTTTGTCTCATTGGATGCTTACTGTGAGCCTTCTTGTGCCTCATACCTCATTTAGCAACATTTTTTTTATACAAAAAAAAATTTTTTTTTTTTTGCTTTCCAAATGTGAGCCCTCGGGATCCTCGTGCCTCATATTTAGTCTTCCGCAGTGTGGTGCCTCCTTACATTGGTGGTCAGTGTGGTGCCTCCTTACATTGGTGGTCAGTGTGGTGCCTCCTTACATTGGTGGTCAGTGTGGTGCCTCCTTACATTGGTGGTCAGTGTGGTGCCTCCTTACATTGGTGGTCAGTGTGGTGCCTCCTTACATTGGTGGTCAGTGTGGTGCCTCCTTACATTGGTGGTCAGTGTGGTGCCTCCTTACATTGGTGGTCAGTGTGGTGCCTCCTTATTGGTGGTCAGTGTGGTGCCTCCTTACATTGGTGGTCAGTGTGGTGCCTCCTTACATTGGTGGTCAGTGTGGTGCCTCCTTACATTGGTGGTCAGTGTGGTGCCTCCTTACATTGGTGGTCAGTGTGGTGCCTCCCATATTGGTGGTCAGTGTGGTGCCTCCCATACATTGGTGGTCAGTGTGGTGCCTCCCATATTGGTGGTCAGTGTGGTGCCTCCCATATTGGTGGTCAGTGTGGTGCCTCCCATATTGGTGGTCAGTGTGGTGCCTCCCATACCTTGGTGGTCAGTGTGGTGCCTCCTTACATTGGTGGTCAGTGTGGTGCCTCCTTACATTGGTGGTCAGTGTGGTGCCTCCTTACCTTGGTGGTCAGTGTGGTGCCTCCTTACCTTGGTGGTCAGTGTGGTGCCTCCTTATTGGTGGTCAGTGTGGTGCCTCCTTATTGGTGGTCAGTGTGGTGCCTCCTTACATTGGTGGTCAGTGTGGTGCCTCCCATATTGGTGGTCAGTGTGGTGCCTCCCACATTGGTGGTGGTCAGTGTGGTGCCTCCCATATTGGTGGTCAGTGTGGTGCCTCCTTACATTGGTGGTCAGTGTGGTGCCACTTACAGTTGCTGGTCAGTGTGGTGCCTACCAGAGTCAAGATGGTCAGGCTCGTGGTGCCTCACCATATTGGCTTTAAATGACTTGAGTGCTGAAACTATGCATGGTCAGGTGAAGGATCAATCTGCCATGGCTCAAGGAACCCCGGAGATTGCGCTGGGAACCCCGTGGTGCACTTACATTGGTGGTCAGTGCTGCAGGCCCCTTGCCGGAGGAACCCCGTGGTCAGTGTGGGCCTCCTTACCGGATTGGTGCGCCGGAGGAGGAGTGGTGCCTCCTTAATTGGTGGTCAGTGTGCCGTGCCTCCTTAAATTGGGAGGTCAGTGTGGTGCCTCCTTACATTGGTGGAAAAGCAGCGCCGTGGTGCCTCCGGAGAACATTGGTGGAACCCCGGAGAAAAGGGCCAGGATACAGTCAGCTAGGGCAGGAGGTTACCTGGAGTCAAGATGAGAGGCTCGCTGGTTCCTCACCACTGAAAAATGACTGCCGGAGGAACCCCGGAGAAAGTGCCGGAGGAACCCCGGAGAAAAGTGCCGGAGGAACCCCGATGAAAAGTGCCATGGAGGAACCCCGGAGAAAGCACTGGAGGAACCCCGGAGAAAGCACTGGAGGAACCCCGGAGAACGCACTGGGGGAACCCCGGAGAAAGCGCCGCAGGAACCCCGGAGAACGCGCCGGGAACCTAGAGAAAGCGCCGGAGGAACCCCGGAGAAAGCGCCGGAGGGAAGCCTAGAGAACGCTGTGGGGGAACCCCGGAGAGAAGCGCCGGGGAACCCCGGAGAAAGCGCCGGGGAAGCCCCGAGAAAGCGCTCTGGGGGAAGCCTAGAGAACGCTGTGGGGGAAGCCTAGAGAACGCTGTGGGGGAAGCCTAGAGAAACCACTTGGAAATCCCTAGAGAAAGCTCTGGAGGAACTCTGGGGAAATCTCTAAAGCAGCCATGATCAACCAGGGTTCCATGGAACTCTAGGATTCTTCCAGAGGTTGCTAGGGGTTCCTTGAGTGCAGGATGGTGCATGCATAATTACACAACCACTTGGCAAAGCCAGCAGCATGACACCAATCACCGATCTTTTTAGCTGTATGTAAGGGTGACATTCTGACCACCACTGTAAGGGTTTTGGTTTTCCTACTGACCACCAATGAAAAAAGCATTTTTTTCCATTTTTACCCCAGATTTATTGATTTCAGTAAGGGTTATCCCTGTGTTCTTTGACGGTAAGAAAGGTTGACAAAGGCTGCTCTGGAGGAGCCCTAGGGAAAGCTCTGGAGGAGCCCCAGGGAAAGCTCCCGTGGAACCACTTGAAAGCTCCAGAGGAACCCTTGGGAAAGCTCTGAAGGAACCCTAAAGATCCATGGAACCTTTGTTCTATTTTAAGCTCTGGAGAAACCCTAGAGAAAGCTCTGGGGGAAGCTATGGAGGAACCCTAAAGATCCATGGAACCTTTGTTCTATTTTAAGCTCTGGAGGAACCCTAGAGAAAGCTCTGGAGGAACCCTAGAAGGAAAAAGCTCTGGATGGAACCCTAGGGAAAAGTTCTGGAGAAAACCCTAGGGAAAGCTCTGGGGGGAACCCCAGGGAAAGCTCGGAGGAACCCTAAAGATCCATGGAACCTTTGTTCTATTTTAAGTCTGGAGGGAACCCTAGAAAAAGCTCTGGGGAAGCCTAGGGAAAGCTACGGAGGAACCCTAAAGATCCATGGAACCTTTGTTCTATTTTAAGCTCTGAGAAACCCTAGGGACAAAGCTCTGGGGGAAGCTATGGAGGAACCCTAAAGATCCATGGAACCTTTGTTCTATTTTAAGTTCTGGAGAAACCCTAGAGAAAGCTCTGAGGGAAACCTAGGGAAAGCTCTGGAGGAACCCCAGGGAAAGCTATGGGGAACCCTAAAGATCCATGGAACCTTTGTTCTATTTTAAGTTCTGGAGAAACCCTAGAGAAAGCTCTGAGGGAACCCTAGGGAAAGCCTGGAGGAACCCCAGGGAAAGCTACGGAGGAACCCTAAAGATCCATGGAACCTTTGTTCTATTTTAAGCTCTGCAGAAACCCTAGAGAAAGCTCTGGGGGAAGGAAAAGCTATGGAGGAACCCTAAAGATCCATGGAACCTTTGTTCTATTTTAAGCTCTGGAGGAAGCCTAGAAAAGCTCTGGGGGAATCCTAGAAAAGCTCTGGAGGAACCCTAGGGAAACCTCTGAGGGATCCTAGGGAAAGCTTGAGGGAACCCTAGGGAAAGCTCTGAGGGAACCCTAGGAAAGCTCTGGAGGAACCCTAGGGAAAAGCTCTGAGGAACCCTAGGGAAAGCTCTGGGGAACCCCAGGGAAAGCTCTGGAGGGAACCCCAGGGAAAGCTCTGGAGGAACCCCAGGGAAAGCTCTGGAGAACCCCAGGGAAAGCTCTGGAGGAACCCCAGGGAAAGCTCCGGAGGAACCCTAAAGATCCATGGAACCTTTATTCTATTTTAAGTTCTGGAGAAAACCCTAGAGAAAGCTCTGGGGGAAGCCTAGGGAAAGCTTTGGAGGAACCCTAAAGATCCATGGAACCCTTTTTCTATTTTAAGCTCTGGGGGAAGCCTAGGGAAAGCTATGGAGGAACCCTAAAGATCCATGGAACCTTTTTTCTATTTTAAGCTCTGAAGAAACCCTACAGAAAGCTCTGGAGGAACCCTAAAGATCCATGGAACCCTTGTTCTAAGTACATGAGTACAAACTAGTTGCAGAATTATTGAATACTTACGCAGAAAGTATAAAGGCCATAACCTAACTTGTTCCTTTTTTTTTTTTTTTTTGCTGTTTTTTCAGACGTTGATGTCACCTACCTGCCTATGTAATGATCCTTTATAGATCTTCAGCACTTCAGAACCAAAAATGTCTGAAAGAACAGGAGTGCTCCACTTTGAGCTTGACAACCATGGAGACTCCATGTTGGGAAGGATGAACACTTTACGAGAACAGAACAAGTTCTGCGATGTCACCGTATACATCGATGATGCCGAAGTCCCAGGACACAAAGTGGTGTTTGCCGCCGGCTCCCCTTACTTAAGGGACCAATTCTTGCTTAGCGATTCCCAGGAAGTCCGCATCTCCATACTACAGAACTCTGAAGCCGGTAAGCATCTGCTCCTGTCCTGTTACACCGGAGTCCTGGAATTCCCAGAGATGGATCTTGTCAACTATCTGACGGCGGCCAGCTTTCTGCAGATGAGCCACGTGGTAGAGCGATGCACGCAAGCCTTGTGGAAATTCATTAAACCACAGCAAGCGGCCGTGAGGGCCACGGATGAAGGAGAGACTAAACCATCACCGGAGCCTGTGGAACAAGAAGAGGACATAGAGGATCCATGAAACCAGACTCTCCGGTGGCCTCCAACTCAGACGATAGCATAGACAACGACGATATTCAGATTGTCAAAGTTGAGTCTATAAGTGAGGTACCCAACGACAATGCCAAGGTCAGCCAAAGTCAGTTTATGACTTCCGACCAGACTGCCCTCCACTCCCTAGAACCTCAACACTCCCTCATCAACTCCACCGTAGAAAACCGAGCCGGGGACACGGACACCAACCCTATCCACAACTACGCCGTGTCTGATAACAGCAGCGACAACATGGGGCCCTCTCCTAAAGAACTCTTCGGGCCCAGCAGTAGGATTTTGGACAAGACCCTCCAATGGCACCACCAGTGCCCGAAATGCACCAGAGTGTTTCGCCATTTGGAGAACTACGCCAACCATCTAAAAATGCACAAGCTGTTCATGTGTTTGTTATGCGGAAAGACCTTTACCCAGAAGGGCAACCTGCACCGGCACATGCGGGTCCACGCGGGCATCAAACCCTTCCAGTGCAAAATATGCGGCAAAACCTTCTCCCAGAAGTGTTCCCTACAGGACCACCTCAACCTGCACAGCGGGGACAAGCCGCACAAATGCAACTACTGCGACATGGTGTTCGCGCACAAACCCGTGCTGAGGAAACACCTCAAACAGCTGCACGGGAAGAACAGTTTTGACAACGCACACGAGAGGAGCACGCAGGACGTCGGCCTGGACTATGAAGCTTTTGCCGGCGCCCATGACGGCAGCGAACTGATTTCACAGAGTCTGCACCAATGAAAAGGAAGTTTGGTGAAATATTTTTGGGTGGAAATCAGCACCAGGGATGGTGCTCCTCATGAATAAAAAGGGTGCCGTGTGCTGGTGGCTGGTTGGTTCATTGGCCCCCGGATGCTCCCGGCAGCAGGGCATGGATGAGCCAAGGGGTGTGGGGCTGGAGGGGCAGATGTCCTGGGGGCAGTGTCAGTGTTGGGGGCTATGGGGTGCCACGAGGCAGAAGCCCATAGAGTGTGCTCAAACCTGTTGAGAGTCCATTGTCACCCCGAATAACCGGGCAGCTGTGATTTTCTGGTGCTGTGGGCAAGGCCGAGATTTGGGAAAGGGGGCAAAAGGGGCAGATGCCCTGGGGGCAGTGTCTGTGTTGGGGGTTGCCACGAGGCAGAAGCCCATAGGGTACATTCATCCAAGTTGAGAGTCCGTCATCCCTGTGGATACCCCTGCAGCTGTGGGCAAGGCCGAGATTAGGGAAAGGGGGCAAAAGGGGCAGGGGCCCTGGGCGCAGTGTCCGTGTTGGGGGTTGCCACGAGGCAGAAGCTCATAGGGTACATTCATCCAAGTTGAGAGTCCGTCATCCCTGTGGATACCCCTGCAGCTGTGGGCAAGGCCGAGATTAGGAAAAGGGGGCAAAAGGGGCAGGGGCCCTGGGCGCAATGTCTGTGTTGGGGGATGGGGGGTGCCATGAGGCAGAAACCCATAGAGTGCGCTCAACCCAGTTGAGAGCCCATTGTCACCCCGAAAAACCGGGCAGCTGTGATTTTCCTTTGCTATGGGTAAGGCCGAGATTTGTGAAAGGGGGCAAAATGGGCAGATGCCCTGGGACAGTGTCTGTGTTGGGGGATGGGGGGGGTGCCACAAGGCAGAAGCCCATAGGGTACATTCATCCAAGTTGAGAGTCTGTCATCCCTCTGGATACCCCTGCAGCTGTGATCTGGTGCTGTGGTCAAGGCCGAGACCTACGGGAGGGGGCAAGATGGGAGCCCATAGGTGCATTCAATTGATTTGGTATCACCCTGGGCCTTGGATCACCTTCTCCCGGCACTGGCTGTGGGAGACAATACGAGCCATTCGTCAATAGTGCCGACCCAGACCCCGCCCCTCCCCCCCAATCATAGAACCTCTACTATCTTGCTGTTAAAAATTTCTCAATGAATGGAGGAGGGGAGAATGAATGGAATGGCCCACCTTCTCCATGTTAGTACAGCTTCTGTGAATGGAGGAGGGGGAGGCAGATACATGGAAGGTCCACCTTCTCCATTCATAGAGCGCTTTTCATTGTGGAAGGCAATAGCACAGCTTCTGTGAATGGAGGAGGAGGGGGGTGGATAAACGGAAGGTCCACCTCCTCCAGTCATTAAGCACTTTTCATTGTGGACGGCAATAGCAAAGCTTCTGTGAATGGAGGAGGGGGGGGGGTGGATAAATGGAAGGTCCACCTCCTCCAGTCATAGAGCACTTTTTATTGCAGGAGACAATAGCACAGCTTTTGTGAATGGAGGAGGAGGGTGGATAAACGGAAGGTCCACCTCCTCCAGTCATAGAGCACTTTTTATTGCAGCAGACAATAGCACAGCTTCTGTGAATGGAGGAGGAGGGTGGATAAACGGAAGGTCCACCTCCTCCAGTCATAGAGCACTTTTCATTGCGGAAGGCAGTAGTACAGCTTCTGTGAATGGAGGAGGAGTGTGGATAAATGGAAGGTCCACCTCCTGCAATGAAAAGTGCTCTATGACTGGAGGAGGCGGACCTTACGTTTTTCCACCCCCCCCTCCTCCATTCACAGAAGCTTTGTTATGGTCTTATTGTCTCCTGCAATGAAAAGTGCTCTATGACTGGAGGAGACAATAAGACAATAGCAAAGCTTCTGTGAATGGAGGGGGGGGGGGGGGGGCGGGGGTGTGGAAAAACCGTAAGGTCCGCCTCCTCCAGTAATAAAGCACTTTTCATTGACTGAAGGTTCTATGACTGGAGCAGAGGGGCAGAAGGGGGCGGCCTATCCTTTGACAGGTCCAGCAGCTCATATTTAACCCCCTGTAGCATTGGCAGATCACAGCTGTGAGGGGATTGGTTGAGGACAGATGATGATATCAAGAACCATGGCTGCCGCCAGTAAAAGGGACACTTCCCATACATTGTAAGTACCATCCCTTGTGCTGATTACAAAAAAAAAAACAACTAAATGTCCGTCTTAAAGGAAATGTCCACCTTAAAGGAAATGTCCACTCTTAAAGGAAATGTCCGTCTTAAATGTCCATCACCTTAAAGGAAATGTCCACCTTAAAGGAAATGTCCACCTTAAAGGAAATGTCCACCTTAAAGGAAATGTCATCCTTAAAGGGAAAAATCCATCTATGTCCTCTTAAATGTACCGACTCATCTCCCATCTATCCTCCATGTACCATGTAATGGACAGATGTAACATAGCGCCACCTACCAATACCTCCACATTCCACGCTTCATTTCTCATCAGTCGGATAGATGATTGGACGAGAAGGAGAGGATGGATGGTGATGTCACACTCTCCACCTCGTCCAATCAGAGAACGCTTTGAGAAAAAAACCAAAGCATTCTGTAAAAGGTGCCTGTGCCCAGCGGCCGACCTCCTGTGTTCACAGAGCATCAATCTGGCCGGGACCCGGAAGCTAGAGAAGATCAACGTAGTAGTGGTGCCTATTACAGGGGTCTCCAAACTATGACCCTCCAGCTGTTGAAGAACTACAAGTCCCATCATGCCTCCTGCCTCTAGGAGTCTTGCCTGTGGCCGTCAGTCTTGCAAGGCCTCATGGGACTTGTAGTTCCTCAACACCTGGAGGGCCGTAGTTTGGAGACGATGTGGAGGCGATTCCACACTCATGGTACATACAGAGTTACATTGGACCGAACTAAACCAACGTACCCATGTAGAAATCTTCATACCAGGCGTTCCATTTGAACCCTCCGTGGTTTTTGGTGGTCTTACCATCCAATGACTACGTCCCATTGACCACCACAGGTGGTCCAACCATAAGCCACTCCCGGTGTACATTGCATCTCTTTTTTTTTTTTTTCCCCCGCAGGGCGATGTTTCTTTGTGGCGGTACGAACATCTCCGAGTGTATTCCATTGTCACACAATAAAGATTGTCCTCGTTTACGGGATCTGTGTCTTCTCATTCTGAAATTAATCCCTCGCCCTCCAGAGGATTTCCCCCCTCCCCTTCATGACCAGGCCATTTTTTGCGACACGGCGCTGCGTTACTTCAACTGACAACTGCGCGGTCGTGCCACGCCGAAATTGACATCCTTTCCACCCCCCCCCCCCCCCACGAATGGAGTTTTCTTTTGGTGGATCGCCTCTGCGTTTTATATTTTTTGCGCTGTAAAAATAAAAAAATAAAGACCGACAATTTTGAGAAAAAAAAAAAACAATATTTTGGACTTTTTGCTATTAAACATGTCCAGTAAAATGAAAAAAAAAAAATTCTAAATTTTATCATGAAATTTATGTACCCATGAATTGAGATTTCTTGTGCGGTGGAACAATTTTGATCACCTGTGCGTTTTTTTTATTTAAAAAAAAAAAAAAAAAAAAGACTGACAATTTTGAGACTGACAATTTTTTTTAGAAAAAAAACAATATTTTGGACTTTTTATTAAACATATCCAGTAAATTTTTTTTGTAAAAAAAAAAAATAAATTTCGTCATGAAATTTACATCCTTTTTTTTTTTTTTTCTCCCACGAATTTGAGCTTTCTTTCGGTGGTATTTGATCACCTGTGCGTTTTTTTTTTTATTAAAAAGAAGAAAAAAAAAAAAAAGTTTTGAGAAAAAAAACAATATATTAGACTTTTTGCTATTAAACATGTCCAGTAAAAATAAAAAAAAAAATCTAAATTTCATCATGAAATTTATGTCCCTTTTTTTCCCCACGAATTGAGCTTTCTTTCGGTGGAATTTGATCGCCTGTCCGTTTTTTATTTTAAAAAAAGACTGACAATTTTGAGAAAAAAAAACTATATTTTGGACTTTTTATTAAACATATCCAGTACATTTTTTTGTAAAAAAAAAAATCTAAATTTCGTCATGAAATTTACATCCTTTTTTTTTTTTTTCTCTCCACGAATTTGAGCTTTCTTTGGTGGTATTTGATCACCTGTGCGTTTTTTTTTATTAAAAGAACAAAAAAAAAACAGTTTTGAGAAAAAAAACAATATATTAGACTTTTTGCTATTAAACATGTCCAGTAAAATAAAAAAAAATATCTAAATTTCATCATGAAATTTATGTCCCTTTTTTTTTTTTCCCCACGAATTGAGCTTTCTTTCGGTGGAATTTGATCGCCTGTCCGTTTTTTTTTTTTAAAAAAAGACTGACAATTTTGAGAAAAAAAAACTATATTTTGGACTTTTTATTAAACATATCCATTAAATTTTTTTTTGTAAAAAAAAAATCAAAATTTCGTCACGAAATTTACATCCTTTTTTTTTTTTCCCACAAATTGAGGTTTATTTTGGTGGTATTTGTTTGCCTGTGCGTTTTTTTATTTTAAAAAAAGACTGACAATTTTGAGAAAAAAAAAACTATATTTTGGACTTTTTATTAAACATATCCAGTACATTTTTTTGTAAAAAAAAATCTAAATTTCGTCATGAAATTTACATCCTTTTTTTTTTTTCTCCCACGAATTTGAGCTTTCTTTCGGTGGTATTTGATCACCTGTGCGTTTTTTTTATTAAAAGAAGAAAAAAACAGTTTTGAGAAAAAAAAAACAATATATTGGACTTTTTGCTATTAAACATGTCCAGCAAAATAAAAAAAAATCTAAATTTCATCATGAAATTTATGTCCCTTTTTTTCCCACGAATTGAGCTTTCTTTCAGTGGAATTTGATCGCCTGTGCATTTTTTATTTTAAAAAAAAGACCGACAATT